TAATCTAGGGGAAAGGGGGAGAGGAATCGATGTGAGTAAAAACTCCATCAACACGACCACTGGTCACCCATTAATTCCAGTGGCCTACTTAAAATCATTCACTGAAGTCGAATACATGTAGTACTGGTCACCCATTAATTCCCCAACTGCAAACTGAAATCAGTTTCGTCTGCTGCCATTATTGCATGCCAAATGAGGAAATTTTGCTTCTGAATTACTCTTAAATGTTGGATGAGTAGAAGAGTTACCTTGTCCAAACAAGAAATTGTTGTAGTCAGTTCTCGATCACGTGGGTCATGGTCTTTTTGGCGATTCATATTAAAATCAAAGTAGGAGACTTCGCAACTTTCTGCCTTGATTTTTATCTATTCAAGTATATATGCAGTAGGTCCTGTGCTTATTGCAACCAAAAAGAAGGATTACAGGTGACGAGGGTTTTCACTCCCCAGTCTCCATCACTACTATTTTTCCATTTATATGTAACAATTCTTTCTTTTTCTTCTAATTCGGAACTCAGTAAATATCAAGTTGAAACTGTTGCCTTGGCCAGTGGGTGGGATGAATGAATATTATGTATGAATGTGAAGAAATCTTCAAATACTGTTTCAACTTTAATTTCAACAACACCGATGCGACCGCTTAAATAAAAATAATGACGCGCGATGGTGTTTCTTTGTGACCTAACAGCGTATATTTCCTATTCATGTATAGAAGTACATGTGAGAGTATAAGCATTATATGCTCAAATTAACCATTGGTAGTGCATTAAGTCTATGGCAACTTGGTAAGGAAGGAGTAACCCAAAAAAAAAAAAAAACACTAATTTTATTTTTTGTACCCTAAAATTCATACCTCAATTCTAAGTTGCGGTGTACTTTTTAACTATTAAATCCATAGGCCATAGCTAATAATAATTAGGGATATTTTCAAAAACCTCTCCTGAAGTTTTTAATATTTTGACAGTTTCACTGGTCATCACTAAAGTGTCTAATATTTTGAAAACCTGAAAAAAGGCCAGTGAAACTGTCAAAAACCTCACCTCAAAGGGGGCGTCTGAAATTTTCCTTAATAAATGCAAGTGACATATCCAATCCACTGCCCAACTCAATTCAGCTCTAATTTGCGGTGTACTTTTTAACTATTAAATCCATAGGCCATAGATAATACTTCCTCCGTCCCACTTTGATAGTCCTGTTTTCCTTTTGAGCGAATTGCGCGAAATGTCACTAAACTATTTCAAAGTGCCGGTTCTGGTCACTAAATTTTTTTATTAGCGCGAAATGTCACTGAACTCGTAAATCTGTACCATTTTGATCACTCCGTGTATTTGTGCCGTTAGGAGAGACGGAAAGTCACTTTTTTGGGGGCAATTTTGTCTACACATTTGTTAAAAAATTTAGACCCTCATTCTTCTTCGTCCTCATCTTCTTCCTCAAAATCACAGCAAAAATTAGACCCACTTGCTGAATTATTCTGCCTAATTTCTGGGTCTTTGATGTCTGATCCTGTGGTGATTTCTTCTGGCCAAACTTTAGAGCGGGTTGCTGTTCAAGTTTGCAAGGATTTAGGGGTTATCCCAAATTTATCCGATGGCTCAACCCCTGATTTTTTCGCTGTAATTCCTAATTTAGCTCTTAAATCTTCAATTATCAACCGGTGTCGACAATCCCGTGTCGAAATCCCCTCCCCACCTGATTATTCTTCCATGGAAACCACCATTGTTCAAGCAAAAACGGCCTCTCAACAGGAACCTTCAGTTTCTGAAACGGAGCTGCTGAGAGGGGTAGAGAATAACCCTCCATTTTTGTTTTCTGCTCGGTTGGAGGCGCGGCGGCGAGGGTCGCTCCCGTGGTTGAGCTCGTGCGCGGTCTGCTGAGGAGCTGGATCTGCGCACGGTGGAGTTGCGCAGAAAGCTGCTGATGGCTGCTGGTGCTGGAGCTCGCGCGCGCTGGCTGCGCAGAGAGGGAGACGTCGCGCGCTGGCCGCGGAAGAGACGCACGGCTGGCGTGCGGCGTGTGAGTGCTGATAGCCGCGGCGGCGCGCGACCAGGTGGCCGGCTGCTGCGCACTGTCCGCTGGCGTATAGGATGGGCGCGCGGAGGGTTGGAGCTGGAGGGAGGCAGCGTGGCGCGCTGGTCGCGCGACTGGAGTGGCGCGCGGCTGGTGGAGATCGAGCGGCGGGCAGCGACGCGATGGGGGCGGCGGCGGACAGCAAGAAGAAGGAAGAAAGAAGAGAAGGAAAGAAAGAAAGAAAGAAAGAAAAGAAGGAAAAAGAAGAAAAGAGAAAAGGGAATGTTTTTCATGCAATTTGGCGGTGTCACTGGAGGGGCGGTCGGCGTTGTTGGATGGCGGCGCGGTGGCCAGCCTGGTGGCAATTTTGCGGGATGGAAGTGAGTCTGACTCGTCCGAATCAACACGTGAGAATTGTGTGGCAGCTTTGTACTAACTAAGTCACGGGAGTCTGAGATTCAGAGGGCTGCCCAGGGAGTTTGGTCTTTGATTTTTAGACATCAAAGACCCAGAAATTGGGCAGAGAAATTCAGGTGGGTCTAATTTTTGCTGTGACTTTGAGGAAGAAGATGAGGACGAAGAAGAAGGAGGGTCTAAATTTTTTAACAGGTGTAGACGAAATTGCCCCTAAAAAAGTGATTTTCCGTCTCTCCTAATGGCATAAATACACGGAATGACTAAAATGGTACAAATTTACTAGTTCAGTGACATTTTTGGCTAATAAAAAAGTTTAGTGATCAGAACCGGCATTTCGAAATAGTTAAGTGACATTTCGCGCAATTTGCTCTTTCCTTTTTCGTTTGTTCCAAATTGTAGTCCAATTTCCAATTGAAGAATGTAGTTGTATTTTAATTTTCCTAAAATACCCTTATTCAATGTAAGTTGTTGTTACTATAAACCTACCCCATTTAATGAGAGTTGATTCTTTTTTTACCATCAAATCAAGTTTCCATAAAGTTATACTCTAATTAATGTGAGGGTATTTTAGGAAAATAGCTACTTAAATTGATTGTTCTAACAAAGTTAACTACTTTTTCTTAAACTGTGTGAAAAAACAACCAGGACTATCAAAGTGGGACGGATGGAGTAATAATTAGGGATATTTTCAAAAACCTCTCCTGAAGTTTTTAATATTTTGACAGTTTCACTGGTCATCACTAAAGTGTCTAATGTTTTGAAAACCTATAAAAAGGCCAGTAAAACTGCCAAAAACCTCACCTCAAAGGAGGCGTCTGAAATTTTCCCTAATAAATGCAAGTGACATATCCAATCCACTGCCCAACTCAATTCAGCTCTAAATTCGTCGCCTGTGAAACCGTCACATTTTACGGTTGCAGAAAACAATAATGTGCTGTCGTCTTCTGTCGAGTTTCGATTACCCGACGTACATAGTTTAATTTCGGGCAGGCTATTTTTTGAATTTGTTCGAACTCCGAAGAAAGCAAAAGGCAAAAGCAATTCCGCCTCCATTACGTATTGAAATTGTCTTTCGACTCTGCTCAGAAAAACATTTGTCCATAAATATAAACCTGGTACGCAAGGTCGGCATCAAATATCTAACCGTTTTGGCAGGACGCCAAAACTTGCAAAATCAGCCTTGGCCCACAAATTCTAGGCTTTGTGAATCTTATACTACTAGCATTTGGCTGATAAGTGTAAAATTATGACTGGTTTAACAAGGTTGAAACTTGGAAAGCGAATTCCCTTTATTATTATTTATTATACGAAGTATTGGGATAATTCAAGTAACATTATATATATATATATATATTTTTTTTTTTTGTCAGTAACGATATATTTATATAACTTACTCTATCCTAATCTAGGGGGAGGGGGGCCTAAGGAGGCTGTGGTAGGGTTAGTGGGTATACAGACCCAACTAGACGAAGAGAATGATCTGGCACAACCCTTAGATTTTTTTCGCTGCAGAACCCTCACCTGCAACCAAGGAGGGATTTAAGCCCCTCCCTAGTGGCCACTGAGCCATTGGGGTACTTTTTTTTTGGGATGGGGTCGGTATATATGGATAGAATAAACAGGAGGCAGATTTATGTTCGAGCTGTTCTACAGCAATGAAGTACATAGGGTAAAGTAAAAGGTCTTCTTTTGTGGTGTAGTTGAATGTACTTTGGCTAAGAGTCAAGTGAGTTTATTTTAGGAATGAGATCAATTCCAACAAGAGATTGGCCTTCAAAATCGGATAAACTCCACTTCGTATTCTCGAACTTATATCACTTTTTCAATTTTGCACCGTAAACTTTAATTTTGAATACTTTACATTTTTTAAACTCTTAATTTTGAACACTCTACATCCTAAATTCTCAAATTTATCCTATTTAAATCTAATTAATATCAACTTTAGCAAAATTAAGGGTATAGACAAGGATAATGAGTAGTCACAAGCAGTCAAAATGTACCAAGGTATCATAACAAAAATAAAATAGTGCATTATTATTAATTTGTATCATCTTTTATCTCGTTAATTTTGCTAATAATATTAGTAATTGAGACCTTATAAATCAATAATAATGTACTAAAGGTGGTAAAAAAAAAAAGTTAAAAGATTGCAGTTAGAACAAAACGGGTACATTGTCATTAATTTTCACAAAGTAGTCATTGATTGGACTTAAATTGGATGAACTTACGAGTTTAGGTTGCAAAGTATCCATAACTAAAAGTTTAAAACGTAAAACGTCCAAAATTGAAATTTAAGGAACAACATGAAAAAATAATACAAGTTCAGAGGTTTACAGTGGAATTAGTCCTTCAAAATCGTTCCTAGTGTCACAGTTGAACTCATAACTGAGTCTTGGAGTGTTCCACTCCCACGTGATTAGTGTTGCCCACATTTGATGGCTGCGACAAATGCCAACACTTCCACAAATGATGTTTAAAATTCCATTAAAAAAACATTTCGAACATTGATGTAAACCGTCGTCTCCAATGCGAGACCCCTATTTAAGGCCCAGAAAAGAGCTTGTAATCATCCCTCACACAAAGAGCAAGAAGCAAAGAAAATGGCTACAACACCAGGTCTCCTCACTGACTGGCCATGGACGCCTCTTGGGCGTTTCAAGGTTCTTCTTTTCTCCTTCCACAACATGAAAATGTTCATTCTCATCTTTCTCAACTGTGAATAGTTTTTTTTTTTTTCCAAGTTCTTGTTCTTTTGCTTATTCCATTTCGATGCATGATGACTTTTTTCGCTGTGGATTGATGGAAATCTCTAAATCTCATATAGATCTAAGCTTCAACAGCGTGTAAAACTATGGACTTAGATTTTTCATACTACTCTACTTTGTTCTGGCTGCATAACTGTTGTTGTTTTGGTTGATATGAAGTACGTGGTACTGGCACCATGGGTGGCTCATAGCATTTATTCATATGCTACAAAAGGCGAAAGCGAGAGAGACCTCACAAACCTTCTTATACTTCCCTTACTTTTGTGGAGGATGCTTCACGATCAAATCTGGATTAGCATTTCTCGTCACCGAACAGCTAATGGCAAGAACCGGATTGTTGACAAGACCATTGAATTTGAACAAGTTGACAGAGAAAGCAATTGGTCCGTTCTACTGTTAATTACTATCTCAATCTTTTCTGATCTCCTAATTACAAATACCTTTGTTTTTTTCATTCGTTGTTAAGATCGAAAGAGAAGAAAAAATATATGGAGAAATATGATACCAAGAAACCACTACGTTCTTTCTAATGGTCAGGAAAATTTTGTTTTCTATCAGTTGGGATCCTCTATGCTACTATTCGGTGTCAAATTTAATGTCAATTCCACTCATCACGTGATAGTAAAAGAAATTTAAATAAACAACACATGACAAATTAAATAAACAGGATATTTGACATAAATATAGAAGTAGCACTGAATTATTATTGAAAAATGGCATTGAAGATCTCGTGTGGTTTTCCATCAAGTTTAGAGTTCTAATTCTATACTTGGTAGTTGGGAGTGAGAGGGTTTTTTTTTATTAAAAAAAAAAAAAAAAAAGATTCCAGGAGTCTTGGGTTCTAATGGGGAAGTTGCCTGTAACTAGGTGACGATCTTTATGTTGGCCATGCACATGTGAATGATTGGTAGATTAATCCTAGGAAAACACAAGCTGCTTGCTATTTAAAATGCTTAAAACCCTTGTTAACTGTGACTTGTTTCTGAAAAACATACCTCAGATTTGCATATCTTCAAGATCAGATTCCTGGAATATGTACTTTTATATCAATATCCACCCCTTGCATTTGGGAGTCGGAAATTTTTAATTAGTTCTATACGTTTCAGGATCACAAGCATGGTTAATAGTCTATGAATTAAAATAAATAAACCTAGACATTTTATTTTATGCACAAGATATGAATTTGGATGTATTAGGAATCATATTATTACACTCATGTAAAGTTGGTACCTATTGTTTTTCTGCATTTTCCTCTCAGGGATGACCAAATAATATTAAACGGAATCCTACTCTACATCTCCAACAATTTGTTGTCTAATGCTTCTCGGCTGCCGTTGTGGAGGACGGACGGTGTGATCTTGACCTCTCTGCTTCATATTGGTCCTGTGGAATTTCTCTATTATTGGCTTCACAGAGCACTGCACCACCATTTTCTCTACTCTCGTTACCATTCCCACCATCATTCCTCCATCGTCACTGAGCCCATAACATGTAAGAACACACTATCCAAAAAACAAAAAGTATTTTCATCAATTCTTCTTTTTTTTTTGTGGAAATAGTTGATTTCTTTTCTTGCAGATATTAATGAATAAAAAGAGAAATATGGTTCTATTAATCTTTTTGAAAAAAAAATTTTTTTTTGGTTGTGGTGGTGGTCTGCAGCCGTGATTCATCCCTTTGGAGAGCACATAGCGTATTTTTTGCTGTTTGCAATTCCAATATTGGCAGCAGTGTATAGTGGAACTGCATCGCTTGCGTCAATGTTCGGCTACATCACATACATTGATCTAATGAACAACATGGGACACTGCAACTTTGAGCTAATTCCCAAAAGACTCTTCTCCATCTTTCCACCTCTCAAGTATCTAATGTATACACCCTCGTAAGTGACCTCCAAATCCAATCAAATCCCTGGTTTTTTTTGGATACACACTTGTAAGTGATCTCTCAAAAAACTGTCACAGTATTTTTTTTTTCAAAAAAAAATATCATCTGAAATAATCTACTATTCAAACACACTCTAAATTACTATGCAGCATGGCAATGATAAGAAGAGATTTGCGAGAAAATAATGTGTTAGATGTTTGGTGCTTTCTGTAAATTTGGATGACGACAAAGAGCCCCCTCAAAAAAAAAAGTTGGCAATGATAAATTATCATCACATCTGGCTTCAATAGTACCATGAATTTTGCGATATACACCCTCGTAAGTGACCTCCAAATCCAATCACATCCCTGCTTTTTTGGATCCCCCTCGTAAGTGATCTCTCAAAAAATTGTTACAGTATTTTTTTAAAAAAAAATTATTCAAAATAATCTATTATTCAAACACACTCTGTATTTCTACGCAGCGTAGCATGGCAATGATAAGAAGAGTTTTGCGAGTACATGATGAGTTAGAAGTTTGGTACCTTCTATAAATTTGGATGACGACAAAGAGCCCAAAAAAAAAAATATATAGTTGACAATGATAGATTATTACAAATTTGGCCTCAATAGTACCGTGAATTCTAGGGTACCTTGTCAAATAGCATGCATTGGGCATAGGTTAAATCCCGTTTTAACTTAAAAACTAGCCAAATAGATACAAATTGAACATTACAAAGATCTCATGCTCTATGGAAGTCAAATGAATATGAAAAGCAAAACGGAATCTTGCTTTAGAGAATGTGAAGTAGAGATGAACAAATTTTTTTTTAAATATTGCTTTAATGATTTTAAAGGATTTCTTTTCTCTTGTTTTTTTTTTTTTTCCTTTTGGAGATTTTATATACTATATAGAGACAAAAAAGAAAGCAAAACTGAATCTGCACTACGACCATCTAACTAGTAAGGCATCAACCTGTGTTGTTACAACAGGTATCATTCTCTGCATCACACTCAATTCCGAACAAATTACTCTTTATTCATGCCCTTCTACGACTATATCTATGGTACCATGGACAAATCCACCGATTCGCTGCACGAAACTTCATTGCAAAGAGAAGAAGATGCCCCAGACGTGGTGCATTTGACCCATCTAACAACCCCGCAATCCATATACCATATTCGTCTGGGATTTGCTTCTGTTGCCTCCAAACCTGAAGGTTCCACATGGTACATTTTGTTGATGTGGCCAGTTACACTTTGGTCCGCAATTATTAATTCCATCTGCGGCCGTACCTTTATCTTAGAGAGGAACAAGTTAGAAAAGCTCAAGTTGCAGTCTTGGGCAATACCAAGGTACAATGTGCAGGTAAGATCAACTTAATTAGTTGAAATGAGATGGTTTATTTGTGGGATTTGTTTGCCTATATATATCAATTTAATTTAATTTAATTTAATTATTACTCTTCATTTTTATTAAATAGTACTTGAAGAAATGGCAATCCCGAGCAATTAATGGCTTGATTGAGAAGGCCATACTAGATGCTGAAGCAAAAGGCACCAAGGTGTTGAGTCTCGGCCTACTTAACCAGGCAAGTTTAAGGGCAAAAGTCAATAATTCCTCTCATTATTTTTATTGAGATATTGTTTAATTTTCTTTTCTTTTCTTTTTTTTTGGTGTGAGGGGATCTCATATATACATTATTTGCAAGTTAAAAATATATGGAGAATTTACAATTTGCAGACAAAGGAACTGAACAAAAATGGAGAGTTTTACGTGCGAAGGTACCCTAAGCTGAAATTGAGGGTGGTGGATGGAAGTAGCTTGGCAGTTGCCACCGTCCTTAACAGCATTCCTAAGGGAACCACTGAACTCCTCCTTATTGGCAACCTCACCAAAGTTGCTCGTTCTGTTGCGTTTGCTTTGTGTGAAAGGGGTATTCAGGTTTGTTGTTTCAACCTTCTACATGTATCAGTACATGATTATCATATATGGCCCTTAATTATCTAATGTCCCTCTCACACATATATGGCCCTTATCACACAAGGGACAGGACAGCAGAAGAAACCTATTCTAAGGCCCCGTTTGGATTGTTATTTTTGGAGTTTTTGTAGAAAAATGTGTTATAATGATTTGATATATAAAAAGTCAAAAAAGGTGATTAAAAAAATATATTTATGAAAAACCTTAAAATTCTTCCTTAGAAGTTGCAATCTTTTGTTTCTATAGAACAAGATTTTGTACATATACTAGGGGAAAGACGAGTTGGGTGGTTCTGACTTCTGAGAGAGTGTGCGTGTGAATAAGAGGTCCCGAATTCAAAATCTTCCACTTACACTTAAAACAAAAAAGTAATGTACATATGTACGAACTCATTGACGGCTGTTATGCATGTGACTTGCATCAAGATCCTAGTATAAAGATTTTAGGTTTCACATTTGCATTTTAAGAGATATTTGTGACCTTTAACACTTGGATATCTTTCTAAAAAAATTCAATTTGGTAACTTCAGGTAAACATTTCATCCCAATATGGGTATGAAAAGCTTAAGCAAAGTGTTGCTTCCCAAAGCAACTTGGTAGTACTGTCCAAGAGCGTGGCTTACAAGGTAGGCACGTTTTGTACGATATAGTATGTTTGTAACCGAAGTCCTTGCATATTATTAATTGAAGACAACAACATATGAATTGAATGTGGTGTTAGACTTGGTTGGTTGGAGATGGATTGACTGAAAAGCAGCAGCTGAATGCACCAAAAGGGGCATTATTTATTCCTTTCTCGACTTTTCCTCCGAAGAAAGTACGCAGGGACTGCTCCTATCTGCATACACCCGCAATGCTGGCTCCCGCCTCCCTCCAAAACCTTGACTCTTGCGAGGTTGGTAACTTGTTTTACTCACATTTAACTATTTACTAGGGGGTGAGGCAGGCACGCCCTACGTGTGTGTGCCTATTTGAGGGGAAAAAAAAATAAATAGTAAAAGAATATATAGTTGCAACGAAAAAATAATTATGAGATATTTTTTTTTATTAATGTTTGTAGGAAGACCTTGGATAATCATAGTAGTAATAGTAAATAAGTATAGCAGTAGCAGTTATATAAACATCATGAAAATGTAAAGCATGACTTAGTTGTATGTTATTCTTTCATGTAAGGATAAGATTGGAATAACAAATAATGACAAATTTTTTTAAACATCAAATCCATTGCACAAGCATTATATATAGAAAAAAGATATAATTCTAGGATCAAACAGGCATGCCTGGACAAATAATCAAAGTATTTTTGCTTGTTTCATTAAAGGCACCAATAACTAGATTTTTTTTTCTTTTTTACTTTCAATGATCACCAATATCATTTGTGACGCGATTAGCACGTTCCAAATAGTCGCTAATCAAACCAATATTGAGCAAAATTTCTTTGTGTTAATAATATTATGTGAATTAATCCATCCATCTAAAATTCACACTCGATTTGATTTTTAGCCTTTGTGGTTTGTATGATAGAAGTAATAAACTTGGTTTTGTTGTATGTATGTATGCATTACCGCACAGAATTGGTTGCCAAGAAGGGCACTAAGTGCAGTGCGTGCAGCTGGCATAGTGCACGCATTAGAAGGATGGACTGAGCATGAATGTGGAGAAAACATGTTGAACGTTGAAAAAGTCTGGCAAGCTGCCCTGAAGCATGGCTTCCGACCTTTGGGGTCTCCAAGCAATTGATCTTTCTCTTTTTAATTAGAACATACATACATATGTGTTAGTCAATGTTTTGAAAATCGGATCAGACCGGCCGGTTCGACCTGTTGAACCACGAACCGGCCATGCCTCTGGTTCAATTCAATTAAAAACTCAAAGAATTAATTGAACCGATCAAAATCGGTCAAGAACTGATTGAACCAGAAAAATCGGGATGTTCAACCGATTTTATTAAGAATTTATTTTTTAAAATAAATATTTTAGTTTTATTCAAAAAGTTTAATACTAAAATGAATAAAAATTTATTAAATCTTTGAATCGGGGTCGAACCGGTTGAACCGATCGAACCGTGAACCGAAAAGTTTTTCAATTCACTCCCCGGTTCGGGTTTAAAACATTGGTGTTAGTTATCCAGACCTATTTCTCAAGAAGGCCCTTTAAGGTCAAATTACTTAAGCTAGTGAAATATTCCATATATGCTTTGATGAAATGTATTATTGTATTAGTCCCAGAGAGGACTGTTGGCTCCAAGAAAGCCTAGTCATACTATAAAGTGTATTTTGGCCCTTTGGCCATATGTAAACCTTTTGTCAGACTATGTTTTGGCCACTTTCTTCTTAATGTTTGATTATTCAGGATACCAACCACTTCAAGCTTTCTTAATTTGTGCTATATATCAACTTTACTCCAACTGCTTCATGTTTCTGTTGATTAAATTTGTTGAAAATCAGAGCAAAATGATATCAAATCAAATTAAAGTGTGAGGCTTAAGGTTGTCAATCAGAGTAGTTCATTAAACCTACAAATTAAAATGAATTTTTTGTCATTAATTTGAGAATTAGTCTTATATACGCTAAAAATTGAACGAGTGATTAATAAGAAATAAAAACTTCATGTTACAAGCGTCATGGACTATTCGACCGGTTAATCGATGCCTGATCCTAATTGGTTGCATAGGTTGGGCCAAATCGTTGCATTGTTACTCAACAACCCTCTTCAACTACTTCCCTAATAGGTTTATGGTTAAATGGCTTCTTGCAGGTTGAAGAGGGTCGAGTACAGAGAGTAAACTAAACCTATAAATTAATTAATCTACATTTTCTCGAGGGGAAGGAAAAAAAAAAGACATGAGAGGTTATTGTTGTTGTCTCTTGAAGATAAATTGACATAACCAACAGGGGTTGGTTCGAGTGGTAAGCGGCTCGGATTTGCTTAAGCAGGTCTCGTGTTCGAATTCTAGTATACGCAGACACCCTTGTTGGGAGACTCACCCACCATAGCCAGGTGCGCGACGCGGGTCGGGTCCGGATTAGTCGGGGCAAAGTTTCGGATAACAGGCGGGCAACCAAAAAATAAAGAAGAAGATAAATTGACATATAAAACATCACTAGTACAGATAAATAATATAGAATACGAAAAAACTTACTTCTTCATATCATAAATTTTCAACTTAAACTCGGCCTAGTTAGTATAAAATTTCAAATTCATATATAAAAATTCGAACTACTTGGACGTGCATGCAATAATGCATAGCTTGCTTGAATTCGACTTAATAAATAAACAATTTAAGTTTCTACGTAACGGCTAACTTGATAAAAGAAAAAAACAAGTGCTGACACGAAAAATGCCCAGCTTGATTCACTTCATATTTACCCCTATACGATTTGTCACCCTTGCAAGACACTACTAAAATAGTAGTAGTAGTAGTACAGAGAAAGATACGTCTGCCATAGTAAAACATCAAAGAAGTCGCAATGACAGCTTTTTCCCCGGTAGGCCTGGGGATCACTAGCAATAGCATGTGTTTCCAACTGTGGTGAAAGACTCAAATGCCAAAGGGTCACAGCCAATTCATCAAGATCCCACACTTTTAGTGTCTGAAGCAGATGGTAGTAGAATACGGCATTGATTAAGGTTATTGTCTGGACTCTGCATAGCAGGTTGAAAGTTGAAGGTGATGGACCAACCAAACCACATGCTGAGACACCTATACATCATAATATATCGAGTACCTTCTTTCACTGCACAATGCTGAGCCATTTAATGAAACTAAGCAGAATAAATACAAGTTTCTAGAGCTGGAAACAGAGTTACTTTAATTCTGTATGCATATTCCTATGCATATATCCTCCCCAGGAGCAGGACCCCCCATCACTAAATGCCCAACAAACCCCAGATATTTCCAACATATCCGGGATGCCATTTATACAATTAATTTCGAGCTTCATATTCTCTGAAAATGTCTTTTTTTTTTTTTTTTTTTTTATCTCACGCTATGATTGTAAGAAGTCGGCGAAGTACATAAGAGAGCTTTTCTTTTTTGGTGACAGAAAGATTTTTTTTTTTAAATCTGAAATAATTCACTGGACTCTTACATAGAGTTATCTATAAACTTAATTTCATTATGTTGAGGACATAAAGTCTTGATAATTTTAGTGGGCTTTTTTTTTTTTTTTATCTTTGAAGGACTCTTCTTAGTAAGAAATTTAGAAGAAAAAAAGACAAAAACACTATAAATCCGCAGTTGTCACTACAAAAATTTAAAAGAAAAAAAGAAACACAAGAAAAGAAAAGCTAAAGAAATTCACTCTCAAATTCTACACGTAAAAGGTAATGCCCAAAATACCACTGTTTTAACGGAATCTCTGTGTGAACGAAGAATTCAAGAAAACTATTTTGATGTTCCAGATAAACAAACACTGGAACTTAGCCCATCAGTTGTCTCGTGAAATTGATCGACTATTTCGTCGTGCCCTAAAGGAATTAATCCAAGCCCACAATGATGATTTTGGTTGGATTGTTGAATCCGCAGCCCAGAGCCGACTAGTAATCTGCTAAACTCCCCCTGAGATTTCTAACTTTGGAGGTGGGTTCCTTTAAAGAGTGATCTACAGGAAATTACAGGGCAGATTAACACCAGATATAAGAACTGTGCAAATTACCTTTTAAGCTTTTAATTCGGATAGTTACTTTGTTTAGAGAATTGCTGATGTTTGGAAGAAGCTTTTAATTCTTTTGCTGCTATCAAATTTGGAGATTCAGGAATGAGCTGGAATTCAGAGGTCACATTTTCCCTTCTTGCTCGGGGTGTATGATCAGCTATTGAGAGATTTGAGATCCATTCTGTCTCGTTGGAAGCCAGCGAGATCCCAGCCTAGCGGATAGTTTTGCTCTGATCTTCGAGTTGGAATTTCCTAGTTATTTGTTAGTACGTTGATTGAATAGTGTGTGCATGGTATGGTATACTTCTGTCTCGTGTACACTTTCTTGCAGATCAATGCTGTTTGAAATTTAACCCAAAAAAAAAATTCTCCAAAAACTGATTAAGATGGAAACTAGACAACTTTGCATGTAAGACAAGTTCAAGAGAATCTGTTAAGCAGTCAAAGCCTGAAACCTGTTTTTTTTTTTTTTTAATGAACATTTATGTTTTCTTCTTGTTCACTTTCATATCCTCAACAAAGGTTCCAAGATTCTACTTAATTGAGAGGTGTCCTCATCGGGACATCTAGATGGAAAGTACTTATTCAGTAACATAGTTTTCCATATCAAGTTTAATTAGTCACAAGTTTTTTTTAATCATTTTTAATTTAATTATACAATACTCACATTTATTGCCCCTTCTGCATCAAAATATTTTCTGGATTTAACTTTATTTTTTGAATAACTTGAACTCATCTTAACAAGTGCCCAATTAACATGCATGATGCACCCAATCCATCAACAACCCATATTGGAACAGGCATTGTGTGATCAAGAAAATGATGATTTGAACAAAAACACAGGTTGCTCTATTAATCGAATGATGAAAAGATATTAAGTAGTTAAGAATAGGGCTACAAACAAATCAAACTGCTCGTGAGCCGACTAGGTTTAAGCTCAACTTGGAGTTGATCAATATTGAATTCGAGTTGAACTCAAGCCGATCAGCTTGAGTTCGAGCGTAGAAAAACTCAACTCATTAACTCGCGAGCCACTTGATTTTATATGTGTGTGTGTGTGTGTGTGAAATTACATATATATATATTCCTAATATTTTATCAGTTGTTAAAGAAAAATGCTATTTTATTTATTTTGTTAATAATAAAATAATAATAATTTTTTATTTTTTAAAACTCTAGTAGGCTCAAACTCAAGTTCAAATTGACTCAAATTTGAGAGTTCATCAATCTCGAACTCAACCTTTACAATGAGAGCTCGTCAAATTTGAGCTTGGTAAAATCGAATTGATACTCGATTCAATTAGATCAAAATTCAATTCATCTCGACTCATTTACAACCGTAGTTAAGAAGAGTGGTTCTGGGTCCAAATGAATCATTAGGTTCTATGTTTCGGATTGGCGTCTTTATCATTTCACCCATGAGGCACTAAATATTCCATGTGACAGAAATCGAAAGTGGTTCAAGAATGGACGGACTCGTAGATATATTCCATAGGTTTTACCAGAAAGTTTGTAGCTCGAATTCTGAAGCAGTACGAGTACGTAAAGACAAGCAACTTCAACCTTCAAAATTACACTATAGAATGGATTAGATAATTACCACAAAACAATGGAAGGTCAAATTTCTGAGTGTAATCTAAGTTAATTAGTGGATTTTGAATCTGGTGTGGTGTTCAATTCCTCAATTCTGTGTTTCACGTTAATTACTAAGCCATGAATTATTAGTGGTTTAAACGGAAAGAAATCCGTCAATCTTTACACTGGTATATAGTTTGCAAAATGCAGTGCAAACAAGAGATGTCCTAAGCAGAAATACTGGAGTCGGAGTATTGGTTGAGGGAATCCCGTCCCGTCTATAGAATTACTTTTGTTCGTGTAGATTATTTGCTTGAATGCTTGTGTTCGAATTGCAACCACTCTGGTACGATGAGTCATGCCCCCTATTCTTGTCCACATTTCATAGCTTTACCATGTGAAGACGCAAAAGATCTTTTATACCACTTTTTTTAATACTATTTTCTATTTCAACATCTATTAATTGACTGTATATTTTTCATAAACATCATATTTTAATAATTCTTTTTCTTGTCCTTTTAAGTTCTAACACTACCAACAACAGAGTATAATACAAAAGATTATAGATTAAAAGGAAAACTAAATTTTACTAAAAAAAGTGAGTTTTTAATGAATTTTCTATTATTTTTCTATTATATATTGTTTTTTAGTCTATTATCTTTTGTGTTCTACTTGTAAGTAATCTTTGAAGCTTAAAAGGACAAGAAAAATAAATAAAAAAGGAAGTCGAACAGAAAATCATTTGCGAAACAACAAGTCTATTTTCCTTTCTTTTCTTTTTTTTTTTAAAAAAAAGGGTCTATTTTCCTTTCCGAAAAATGGGACGAAATTTGTACTTGTTTTCTCTCGGGAGGTTGGGCGCACTAATTATAAGCATCATTTTTTAATTTCTAAAGAAGTATCAATACATATCATAAAGAAGCTGCGAAAAAGAAAGATAATCTGTATGTATGTATTTGCAGCTAGGCAACAAAGCGCCTGTTTTCACAGAACATCACGTTAGGATCTTGGTCAAAATGGAAAGAAATGGTTCTGAGAAAATACTTAGAAAATGAAAGAATATTAGGGGAGAAGAAGAACTTGTAGTACTTGCGATCACGTGAATGCAGATGACGAGGGACTTCACTTCTGCATAATGGGCATGTA